AAAGAAAACATTCACTCAGTGCATACCATCCTTCCCCATGAATGAATTTATCCAAAATTTTGTACAGTGGAAACCATATATAACAAGCCTGGTAATAATAGATCCTTTTTTAAAATCCCCGTTTTTTCCTACTCTTTATCTCTATTAAAAGTTATCGGCAATAACAGGGCCTGTGCAGAGCCCAATCGGTTATAGCAGGGACAAAGGCTTGTTAATAATGTGTAAAAAGTAAGAGAGAAAGAGAGAACGAGAGAGAAACGCAGTGATTGAGCAATACCACGCCACTGCTAGCACACGCAGTGGGTGAAGCGAGAGAGGGCTGCGGTGTGCTGCAGACATCGATCTAGCCCTAAACCTCGCTACACTACACATGAATAATAAGTACAGCTGGATTAGTTCACAAATGCTTACTTCTCTTGCACATCTGATTTAACAGGGATCTGATATAACAGGACTTTTTGTCTGGTCCCACCATCCCTGTTACATCAGGTTTCCACAGTACTGTTTTATGTTGCTTTTAACAGTTATCAAGGCATGTTTCCAGATCATTGGCCAAAGTCCCCCCAGTTTTATGGTATACCTTTTTTAAAAGTCAGGACCCTTTTGAAAAGGCTATGGAATAAAATAACATTCTATTATGGCCTTTTCCAACCTGTTTTTGTTTCAAATTAATCAAATAAATTAATGATTATAAGTTTTGGGACCCCCCCCCCAAAAAGAAGACACAAATGCACAAACACAGATACATGTTTCTGTTTCGGGGTCATTATGTGGACATTGCCTCAGACCTACATTATGTGAACGCCTTGGTAAAGGGTGCAGGAGGGACAGCAACAGCGTGGAAGAGAAAGAGAGAGTACACACACAAGAGTTCATGGTAATTTTAAGCTATCATCACAGAGCAACTGCAATAAAGAAAATCTCATCTAAAGCTGAATAATGCAAGACAGAGATAAAAATAAAAGCAAACATTTTATTCACACAACATATGTATTGTATTTAAAATGTACACAAGATATTCCCCAAAGCATGCAGAAGACAACATATCAGCAAACAGACTTTTTAGGTCCCAAACTTGTTCTTACATGTATGCCCTCTGGTATTTAAAACACGTACATGGCAAAATTCATGCATAAACTGAAAGATTTCTGCGTCCCACCGATTTAACTATGTGTGTGCTAGACTGTATTCTATGAACTCGAGGACAAAAGTACATCATACAAAATTCTAAATTTGAAATTTAAGAAAGAAAGGAGACCTGATATGTTATATATATACAGTTGGATGGCAGTACAGCCACAGAGAAACTAGCAGGAAAAAGGTTACCAGCAGCTTTCTATATTTCTGTTCATTATCATCATTATAACTATTAGGGAACAATTTAATCATTATTTGCTAAACACAGATCTCAATTCAATGACAATACGGAATCAAAACACAACGGGAGATTCAAATGGAACTAACTACATGTACATCATAAAAAGAAATGGTTTGAACAAGGTAAATATTAATATATATAAATCATTCATGTAGCAGCAGGAAATGTGAGTTTTTCAGAGAATTTGTTGAAATGTAGGCCTATCAATTATCCCAAAACAAGTAGGCCCTATTCATGACTGAAATGTGTCTCTGAATTGGAAAGGAATCACCATAATAACCAATATAAGCACAGTATTCAAGGTATATAGAATATATTACTGAGACCGTTCAAATGAATGGCATCCTTCACCTTTCAATTTCCACTGTATTATAAAAGGAAATTTTTAAAAATATATATATGCCATAAAACAACTTTCAGTCAAAAAACCAAAAAAAAGGCTACGTTGTGATAGTTTTACTTTTTGTAACGTGCAACAATTGTACATGTCATGAAAAGAATATGATATGAAAAAAATGTGCCCCAGTTTGGCAACTGGCAACCTTGACAATGAATTATTCAGTTCCAGCCAAACATTAGATTTACATTCAGCTGAGATTTAGTTTAGTTTTAGTAGAGGTTTTACGCGTTCGCAACTGCATAAGGTCATATGAGCGCCAGAAGAGTAGAGGTGTTACAAGGGAGTAACAAACATAAAAAAGAAGAAGGGGAGATAAGGACGATAGAAGTTTAATAGGAAAGAAGGAGCAGACCACACCAGAGCACCCGCCAACCACCCACCCAGCTGAGATAGAAAATCTTTTCAATGATGAATGGCTATAAGATACCACTGGACCATAAATGCAACTAGTAACTATGTTAACGTTTCAGTTTCCCATTTCTGAAGCACCGGGCAATCTCGAAAATGCACGTCCAAAGGACTGGGCACTATTTGAGTGGTCAAGTAAAATTCAACTTCATTTTCCCCCCTTTTGCTACACCGAATTTAAAAAAAAAAAAAAATCCAAAATTTCAACTATAGGACGTTCTGGTGAGCTTTTGTCTTTCTTTTCTTTAAGGCCCCCAGAAAACATTGAGTAACTGAGAATTAAGCCATACCCTGAGCAGCCCCTTGATAACGGCTGACACCATTATCTAATATTGACTGAAAAAGACAACCAGCCGTACACACACACAACCCCCCCACCCCCCAAAAAAACAAACAAACCGGAGAACACATACCAACACACGCATGACCAAAAAATTAACATCTTAGGAAGATGATAATATAATATAGATTACTAATTTTCCCTTACATACAATGACTAGCTGACTTTTAAAAGCTAAATTTAAGTAACGAATCATGTCCATTAAAATTTTCTTTCTCTCATGAATTCAAATTAGTCAGGCAAGGAAAACTCAAAACGTGCTGGGGATTTACCAAAGTTTGACACACATCCATGATGCAGGTAAACCCATGGGACAAAGAAATTAATGAGCCACTGAAGAAAATGGAGGGTAAAATTGTGACGGTACAAAGGTCGAAAAAATAAAGAACTACCCAGTACAACATATAACTGACAATCTGAAGTAGTTTTGCCACACATAGCCATTTCTGTGATGGCGTGTCTCTTTGAATCTGCTGTGCAATCATCTTGTGTTGCATTTGAAGTCAAAGCCAAGTTTCTTTGCTATTTGGCTGTTTTGCAATCAGGGTGGGACCCGGGCTAGATAGGAAGAGAGATGGCACGTTCTGCATGAAACATTGAAACAACGTCAGGTCAATGTGCTCAATTTTGGCAACACCTGTGTCCGCTTTCTCAGTTCTGTAACTTTGGATGTCAAACCAAGTCTGTTGGGTTGACATCTAAAGCAGGCCTTTTCAACAATCTGATCTCAATTTTTTTTTTTATAGATAAGTGGAAAGTGTTGAATTGGGGATACAAAATCTCTTACAAATTTCCAAATTAATGCAGGTTTTTTTTGCCAACCTGTGTTGATACCTGATGCTTGGTTTCTTATGTGGGACAATTAAGTTTTCTCTCCTCTGCCATCATGAAAAGTAAGGTAACCAGTATTGATCAAAGGACAGACAGATTGATGGAGCATGCGCACTGTTTGATGTTGATGTAAGGGAAAAGAATAGAGTGCTACTGATGAGCCTGCAACAATAGTAAAATTGTTTTTGTTTTTTTAGTTGAGGTTTTATGGTGCTTGCAACTGCATAAGGTCATATGAGCGCCAAGGGGTGGATGTCAACAGAGAAGTCCTTACAGGGAATCAGGCACACTCAGCTCACCTCTCTAGCCTCAACAGCACAAAGTCTGCATCGACAATTAAGGTTCCCCGGAAATAGCAGTTCACAAGAGAGTGACAAACATACAAAAGAAGTAGAGGTAAAATGACGATAGTAAGGATGAGGAAAGAATAAGCAGCAGCTCCCTCGTGACCAGATTCAAGGAAGCTCCAGTGCCTAAGGCTCACTACAGACTACAAGTACTACAAGTAGAGTGCGATGACACACATCGGTACCAGCATCGGGTGTGTCACGCTGGTTGGGAGCAGGCCCGATGGGCTCATGATAACAGGCATGTTGTTTTTCCATTGTGCATCCAGGGTGATTTGAATTCAACACACTTGTGAGGAACAATTTGATCGGGGTTTTCGAGATAAGCTGCTCGACAAATTTGTACGAGTATTAATTTGAGAAAACAGTGTTGCCAGTACAAAGAAAAAGAGTTATTTAGTCAGGGAATGGCATATTGTACGAGCTATCCATGATTTTGAATTTTGCATGTTCATGTTATCTGAGCCCACTGCCTATTCTTTGATTTTAAAAAAAAAAGAAAGAAAAGCTGAAGAAACCAAACTAAATAAAAGAAAAAAATAATGTTCAGTAACTAAATGTTTGGAGAAAAAGAGCAAGAACACAGACAGAAATACCAGAAAGTATATTTTTACCAGTGGCACAATCAACTACCCACTAACACTGAAAATACATTAGTACACACGTTCATTCTTTTTTTGTATTATTCATATAAATATATATATATATATATACATATACACATGACATAATTAAGTTTGGGAACTAGCTTCTATAACATGTAATGCTTATGTTATGCAAAATAGAGCCTAGTGTGCATTCATTACTATGTAAATGTAAAACATATTATACATATATATGTCACATGGTGGAATCAGGCGCTCGTCAATTTTTTGGGCACGTGGAGTTATTGGTATTATCTTTACCCTTGTTTATTTATCTTGCTTTTGATGAAAAAAAATTAACCATCTATCTTGAATAGAAGTCGAGTTATTAGCTATTGAAGGAGGCGGGGATAACCTGCTTTCAGAGGTAAGATTAGCGAGAAAATGGCCATTAAAGTTTGGTGACTTCCAAACCTTGAGAGTTCTTGGAAACTGCAAATTGACATTTTTTGTGCTTTTTATCAACGTTTTTCAATAAAATCACCACATAAATGTGTTTTAAATGGACCTTAAAGGTGTCGATCAAATAAAAAAAGAAAATTCATTTAAAAAAAAAAAGCCCACCGTCCATAAAAATGCAGATTTATTCGATTTTATTATTTTGAAGAACGCCTGATTTCACCACGCTGCCTCATATATACTATTTAGATTATTGCAAAATTCTCTTTAAAAATTAAAGAGAAAAACAAAAACAAAAACAACACACCAGCTCCCATTCCATTCTTTCTCCACATTCATAGTGTAAGAAAAACACATTCCCCATAAGACACTCAAGGAAATAGACTAAAGGAAACAATATTCAAGTTGCTTCTGCTTTTCCTTCTTCTTTCTCAGCTAGATTGTGCAGTGGTCCAAGGATATCTCTTCTCAGCTCGGCCTTCTTTTTAGCTGAAAGAATTGAGGAAATATGTTTCAGTTACTATCAAGACAATTTTAACCATAAACCATAGGGTGAAAAATTAAGAATGCAATGTAAAGTACTTTCAAACATCAATTAATTGATCCCAGGAATGCATTTGAACTACAAACACCAGGTTTTAATACATTCTTCATTTGTAATTTGTCCAGATTGTTAAAGGTTTTTTTCATTTTACGTTTTAGTAAGAGTTTTAAAGCACTTCCAACACAAAATAAATCACTGTATAAGTGCTGAAGATAAGAGGTGTTACCCAAGACCAAAAATGGTAAGACGATACAATACCTGCAGCCCTGTAGTACCTGCGGTAGCTCCGCCCACTTTTCCCAGGCACATATCGCAGGCAGCTGGTGCATTGTGTTTACCGTTGAGCAACTTCTTATTCTGAAGTGCGTAACTCTTTAGTTAAATGAAATGTGAAGAGGGCTGACAAATGAATTACTTCTCGGATTCAAGCTTTAATGAAATAGATACATCATGCTTATAGGTGAAGTTTTTACATTTTATAAGTACGAAATAATACATTTTTAGGCATGTAATAGTGAAAGATATCGCATCAATAGAAATTCTACAAATTTGACCCTAGAGTCGATTTAATGCCAATATCTCTATTTGTGGATAGCCAGAAGTAATTCTTTTTGTCAGCACACCTCACAAATGTATTTCCTGCTACCAAAATGTCAAACATAAATTTACAAAGTGATACTCACCTTTTGATCGTGGAGATTTGAAAATGTTCAGTTTTTCTCCCTTGTACAAATTTGATGTGAATGGATCACCCCTGCGCAGTTTCCTGTTAAATGAAGCACATTCATGAAAGTCACACAACATAGAAAACAGTGAAGAGGGTCGACATCGGCAAACTAGGTGTTCCCTCTACATTTTATTTTGCCAGGAATGCTTTCACAGGTGAAAATATTTAGAGGCTGATCGATGTCTGTTTCCATTTTTCAAACCTAATTTGAGGCCACACACTCGTTTGTACCAAAATCTACTAGTTGGCGATTTTGGCGTGTTGGTTTTTTCTTATTTTCTCAAAGAATTCCATTCAAGGATAAAAAAATATTCAGTTTTGTAAATAATTCTCAATTACATAATCTTAGAAATGGCAAATTCAGAGTCAAACCAGGCTATCCGAAGGACCGTTTTCAAAAGCTAACACCAGTAACTACAAAAAATCAAACTATCCATGGAGTCTATGTTGTTGACCTGCGTGTTAGCGAATGATGAAAATAGTCAAAATAACAAGGTAAAAAAAAATCATCAAAAACTTATCGTTAGAACATTTCCAAAGCAAATTCACTGTCGAATAGAACTAGAAATTTTGCAAAGTGACTTTGCTTTGTTCATGAAGTGTGGGAGGGTACTTGTATGCACAAAGCCTCCCTTCCTGTACTGTGTCAATATATTTTGAACGCACTGCACACCACAAAAAAGGTGACCTAAATTTTGATGTGTGATGTGAAGGGGTTCATTTTTATGAATAAGTCAGGGAAAATGTCAAGGTCCAAGGTAGAAATTTCAAAAAGTGGTTTTGCTTTGCTCATGAGATAACAATAATAATAATAATAAATGACATTTATATAGCGCTCAACCCCGAATAAAGTACACAGGCTCTGAGCTCTTTACAATACAGTACAACATACAACAGTAACATGAAAC